TCTCTTTCTGTCTGTCTCTCTTTCTGTCTGTCTCTCTTTCCGTCTGTCTCTCTTTCCGTCTGTCTCTCTTTCCATCTGTCTCTCTTTCCGTCTGTCTCTCTTTCTGTCCGTCTCTCTTTCTGTCTGTCTGTCTCTCTGTCTGTCTGTCTCTCTCTCTTTCTGTCTGTCTGTCTGTCTCTCTTTCTGTCTGTCTCTTTCTGCCCGTCCATCTCTCAATTCAATTCAATTCAATTCAAATGAGCTTTATTGGCATGACTGTAAAATAGCACAATATTGCCAAAGCAATAGTAATATATAAAGATATATGTAGATAAATAAAAGTGAAAAAAATAAACAACAACAATAAAAAACATTTCCATGTTATGCATAAATATACCACAATAGATTAAAAAAAAGATAGATACAATAAGTACAGAGAGCAGTTTAATGTCTCTCTTTCTGTCTGTCTCTCTTTCTTTCTGTCTGTCTCTCTTTCTGTCTGTCTCTCTTTCTGTCTGTCTCTCTTTCTTTCTGTCTGTCTCTCTTTCTGTCTGTCTCTCTTTCTTTCTGTCTGTCTCTCTTTCTGTCTGTCTCTCTCTCTTTCTGTCTGTCTCTCTTTCTGTCTGTCTGTCTCTCTTTCAATTCAGTTCAATTCAATTCAATTCAATTCAATTCAATTCAAATTGCTTTATTGGCATGACTGTACATATTACAATATTGCCAAAGCTTGTAACACATAGCATAGTGAAGACATCAATAAAAACAAAGTATTATAACAACTTAAATTGAAATGTACAAATTAAATTAATTGCAAAAAATAACTGTGTAACAAAATATAAATGCTATGAACGTTTGATACCACAGTGTTTTAACATATATATACACACATACACACATTACTGAGGGTCACTGTGGTGGACATTAGGGAGACACACTGAGGTCACACATTCACACACATTCACCTACTGTCTCTCAGGCTGTGGCACGCACACACGTATCTGGCAGCCAGTGCTGCGGTCTGTCCCTCTCCTAGTATTATCTTTATCTGCTCTACTTCAGTCATGGTTGTAAAGTTGTGTATTAAGTTATTAAGTTTTTTGAAGTAGAGGTCTCTGATGGAGCTGTATTTGTGGCAGTGGAGGAGGAAGTGTGTCTCTGTTTCAATCTCTCCTGTCCTACACTGAACACACACCCTTTGCTCTCGGGGTAGCCAGCTCTTTCTGTGTCGGCCGGTCTCGATGGCTAGACTGTGTTCACTCAGCCTGTACTTGCTCAGGATCTGTCTCTGCTTTGTGTCTCTCACACTCTGGAGATATTCCTCCATTTCATAATTTGATTTTAGATTTCGATAGAATTGTAGTTTACTTTGTGTTTTGGTTTCCTGATCCCAATGTTCCAGATATGTATTTTTAGACTGTTTAGTAATTTGGTTTATTCTGATGTGTGTGTGAGGAGCAGTGCTGGTCTGAGACTGGTGAGTGTTAGTAGGGTTAGTCGGGTTAGTGAGTCTCAGGACCAGCTGACTGAGGAGACTCTTTTCGGGGTTCAGATCTTGGGTCTGTAATGCTTTAAAATGTAGCGATTCTGTGGGACTTGATTTTAGATGCATCCAGAATTTGAGGGATCTTTTTTGCATATTAATAATCAATGGGAATCGGCCTAATTCTGCCCTACACGCATTATTGGGTGTTTTCCTTTGTAGTTTTAGTATCATTTTGCAGAATTCTGTGTGTAGGGCTTCTGTTGGATGTCTGTCCCATCTAGTGTAGCTCTGATCACTGAGTGGACCCCACACCTCACTTCCATACAGCGCAATGGGCTGAATCACACTATCAAAGATTTTACACCAGATTGGAATTGGTAATTCAGAGTTTTGGAATTTCTTCTTAATGGCGTATAGAGCTCTGCGAGCTTTATCTTTAAGAGCATTCACTGCCAGACTGAAACTCCCCGATGCAGTGATGACCAGGCCGAGGTAAGTGTACTGCATCGTGTGCTCTAGGCCGGTGCTGCCTAGACTGAACTGGTATCTGTGTTCCTGACATCTGGGCTTCTTCTGAAAGACCATAATGTTGGTCTTTTTGAGGTTGACTGCCAGGGCCCAGTTCTGGCAGTAGTTGTGCAGCAGGTCCAGGTGCTGCTGTAGTCCCTGTGCAGTGGGTGACAGCAGCACCAGGTCGTCTGCGTACAGCAAGAGCTTGATGCTTCTGTCCTGTAGGGTGAGTCCAGGGCCTGTAGACTGCTCCAACTGCACCGCTAGTTCATTAATGTAGATGTTCTTTCTGTCTGTCTCTCTTTCTGTTGCAAAAAAGATGGAGACGCAGAGGACACACACACACACCAGATCTGATGAAGGACCAGCGCCTGGACACACACACACACACACACACAGTTCTGCTAAACTTTATACATGAAAAATTTAGCTAGATTTTACCAGATCAGATGCTTTAGAAAAGGGAATATTTTCGGACCCGGACCGCTACAGGGGTAATGACCACCTTTTTCACCCCGGACCCGTTTT